CACACGTAAAACAATAGGCGTTTCCAGACCGGTGATAGAGGGACTGTGATTTTATTCAGCTGAGCCTTTTCCGGTATTTGGCTTTGAATATAAGAACCTGTGAAAAAGTAAATAAATGCTACACACTTCTAAACCAAACCATTGATAAATAACCACCCACTTCTAAACAAAATAACGTGAAATGACACCCCAGTCGGGCGGCACATACCCGTATTGCACTTTTATGCAAGTAGTCCCCCCCCCGGACAACAGACACGACGACTGGAGAGAATGGAACAATATTTGAGGAGAAAACCAAGTATCGTTCCCGCGAGATCTCGGCGGCCATTTGCATTTTGTGGAACAATTTCTTGACCTTAAAATTCCTCACCGAGACAATATCTTGAGCATCATTGTGACGTCGGGAGTATTATATCACGTTAAATATTTATTGTTCTGATTATGCACTAATTGCGTGAATTTGAGATTCGTTTAAATTCGCCCGTGTTTCAAATCCACCTGCGTATTTGTCCAAAAAGCGTTAAAAGATGAAATTCATTATCATATACAAAACCGAAAGTTGAAAATTCCCGAATGATTTCATATATTAGTCTTATGACCACAGCACAGTTGTATGAATAATATTATAACATAACCAAAGTGCGCCATCTGAGTCTAAATGACGTGATAGATGTTTACGTTTTTTCGCTGCTGCGTCATTAATAATACAAAAAAAAACGAACATTAGTATGGTGACCATAAAAAGCGTCTTACTATAGTTAAGATAATGGTGATCAGATAAAATGCAATTCACATTTTAGGAAGAAAATAAGTAAAAAAAAACTAAAAACAATCTGGAACCTCAACATTTAGTTTGTACCTACAGAATTCACCTTTTGCCACAAAAACTGAACTTTGAACTCGGGTTGTACATTACGCCGGGTGTCACAAACATATAATATCCACTAAATACTGATAAAAACTGATTATTTTTTTCAAATTAAGGAAAATTTTCTTAAAACGTCGACACATCATATATTACCATACGAGAACCAGACTATAACTAGGTAGTAACCTTTCGGACGACGCCATGCTTTTCCCCACCAAAATGTTGAACATTTTGTTCATTTTTGTGTATTTTCTATGTTGTTTTCATTTTTTTTTTTTCGATAAGTTAAGACCAAATGAAAACCATTTTCTAATGGCTGCTGGTCATGAACAAATTTTAGATATAAAGGAAATTCGTATTAGCTTTACTTTGGGAAAGGTGGGAAAAGTTTACCTTGGCGTCCAACGGGTTAAATGAAGTAGTTGTTTCTCTTGGCTACAAAGAATGGTATTTAAACTTACGTTCAGCACATCCAGTGTGTCCTTCGCCAAGTTGACCGTCCCCGACTAGACCATCTGGACAGAGACAGGCAAAGCCGTCTTCTAGATCTTCACAAACGGTGTTCTCAACGCAGATTAGCTCAGCGTACGAACACGAATTCATCTCCTCGGTGCCTTCATCTGTTTGTCTCCGTTTGACCGACTGGTCTGCTTCATTGGCAGCGTCGTTACGTTTGTTTTTATGATGAGCTGTTTCAGCGTTGTTACGTTTGTTTCGTACATGCGCCGTCATCTGCGTTTGCTTCTTCTTTCCGTGCAAGGTTCCTTCATTGTCCCCCGTCGCCTTGGAACGTTTATTGCGGGCATGTTCGCTGTTGCGTTTTCCTTTTTTACCTGCATAATTTAATAAAACGAAAATACAGAATGTTCGTAAATAAATAAATGAATAAGTATCGTTCCTTGATAATAATATACAATGACTGTTAATATCAAGAGCGTTTCTGCGATAAGCCATTCATGTTGCTATTAGTAGATATCCATGATGTACTAGTATTTATTGTTTTGTTTAACGTTCAAATTTAGTAACTCAAATTTCAAATACCAGTTAACCGAACTTTGAATTTCGGGAACATAAAACGTTAAACAAAACAACAAATTTTTGCCTGTAACTCGAAGTTAGGTAACTGTTCATTAAAATTCGAATTCTAATTGTGGACTTTCAACAAAAATCTATGTTACTCGTAACTCGAAATTGTGTTAACTGTTAATTGAACATCGAGTTACAATTCGGGCGTGGTTTCCAAAATATGGGCATTGTCATTTTTGTAACTCGATGTTTTCGTAACTCGATGTTTTCGCAACTCGATGTTTTCGTAACTCGATGTTTTCGTAACTCGGTGTTCGTAACTCGATGTTTTCGTAACTCGATGTTTTCGTAACTCGATGTTTTCGTAACTCGATGTTTTTGTAACTCGATGTTTTCGTAACTCGATGTTTTCGTAACTCGATGTTCGTAACTCGAATACTTCAGCATCTCGTCCATTTATCGTGTTCGCAGTTGTTCATTTATGATCGCGCTTGCATTGCAAACACATTTTACTGCACCATGCTCGGAATCAACTAGTTCAGTAAGTTAGGTCTTATTGGTGTTTTCCTCGAGTAAAATTGGACAGAAACAATTTTTAATCCACCGTCTCGCATACGAATACACCTCTCACCTAATATGGCGCAGTGGGCATTTCATTGTTTTTATATAACATGTTTCGAATGTTTCTGTCGATGAAGTACGCCCTCATATGTTTTTGACTAGGTAGGGGCCACGGTTGGTCCTGGTCAGACACTCGATTCAACGCATTTGAATCACATTTCAGATGCGGGTTGTGATTTTTACTTTACACGGCAAAGTTTACTTCCACTTTGTAAACAAATATTTAAACAAGAAGAAGAGAAACAAGTTATAAAATGCATTTGAGTTAAGAGGTTCATACTTGTACGAACAATTATTGCTATCATTACGTCCATGTAATCGTAATTTAGACGTATTGTATTATTTTCATCCACTTTCTGTAACTACTGTAAAACATGTCTTTTTAGCGAATTTAGCGAGAGAACTAATTCGCTAATTTAAGATATCGCTAATGACTATATTATAAATTCAAAAAGGCGGCCAAACGATGCCTTTTCTCCACACACACACACACACACACTAAGTTGTAAACAACACAGACAATAATAATAAGTAATAATCTAAAGCGCTTCCTAATTACACTTGACAGTTTTTCCTTGTTTTTTATGGAGGTGATAACTGCATTTGTTTTGGCAGGCGACAGACAAATATTGTGAAAACAGGAAATCAACAAAGACAAGATAGATTCGCAAAAATCAACATTTCGCTATTACGTCATTTTACCACAATTCGCTAAAATAGTATGTCGCTTTTTCAACATGTTTTACAGTATACATACATGGAATCTGAAATATTCTTTTAGCAAATTTAGCTAAATTGTATTTTTGTAACTCATATTTAGTCAATACATGTAGCATATTCCTTTAATGAGTTGTGTGCCAATTGGTTCAATTTAAAAATGCGATGTTGAGTATTAAACCGATTAATTTTGAGTAGCCATTTTGACAGTGGCTTAGTCGGGGATAGATCGGATGTAACTGCGATGTATTATTGCGCGTGCGAGATCTCCGCTGAGGGCGTACATTTTAACCAAAGGTGGGGTTCACAAAGGCGCTGATTGTACGTTCAATTTGATCCTTACTCGTACACGTTTTAAGCTGAATAGATACGATATTTTAATAAAAATGTATACTTAAATGGCGGCAGTCGTCGTGCCGCGTCCTGTTCGATATGGGACTCATAGCGACGTATACAACGCGTGTAAAATACATTGTTTATTTACATGAAATTCGAACACGCGCTGCGCGACGAACACCGCCCTTTAACAAATTTGAGGATTCACGTGCAACATACCACATCGACGGTAACTTATTCAGAGGTTCCTATTGTTCCTGCTAAATGGGCTATATTGATGAGGTGCCGTGATTTTAACATTGTTGTTTGGCACTGTATGTTTAAGAATAGATCGGATTACGAATTATCCTGAACTGAAAATATTGTTGTTGTAGCACACGGTTGAATATTCGTTGGGGGGGGGGGACAATGCAATTATGTTTTTGGTATTGGTTGTTTTTGGTATGGGTAATAACAATGGTGTTTTACATTTTCAACTCAACGTATACTGTAAATTTTCGCTATTTTTTCTGAAGGAATGATTCAGTGAAAATAAAATCCAATGAATATACCTTTTTTTTCTATATTTTACATAGAACTCATTAAAAATCAGTGAAAATAAATTCTTTTCAGCAAAAATTAATTCCAGCTAAAATAAAGTATTTTACAGTAATTTGCAGCAGACTATAAAGCCGACATTTTTAATTCGCGGCAAATAAAAATCAAATGTTGCCAGTATTAAACAAGGATATTGAACAATGCGTGTTTTTGTCGATGTCACGTTTGTGGGTTTCAGTTGTTTCCATGAATACATAATTAATCAACCGTCACCTCTCTCAATGTAACAACTGACTAAAATATGGACCCACACGGTCGGTACTCCCGCCATTTTGTGATAGCTTTTATAGTCTTCACAATATGTGTGCGGAAAAATATCAATATTGTATATATATACTAGTAGTCGACTAGCACCAATACGGTGAACATCAACTTTAAAGCGGGGGAGTCGTTACCTGCGTATGCGTCAGGCGGCCATAGCGTGTCATTGTTTACAAACAAGCGTCTACCCATGAGCCTTTGCGATTTTAGCGTGTATTGTAATCGTCGCTCGGGACTCAGTTCCCGCGCGTGCGCTTTAAACGAGTCGCTTACAAAAGCTGTTGACGTAATCGTACAGTATTCTTTATTTACATACGGAAAGATTTACTACCAGATACGATGTATGAAACATTTCAAAGTTGTCTCATTAAAAAAATAACGATATACAGTGAGTTACATATTAACACTACTCCAAACTATTATAATTTTAACTGCGAGGTCAATGCCCATAAGAGCATTACTTTATTTGTCAGGGGATATATACTGTCTGTACTGGAGATTGACTGTGATTTATAATACGATTTTTTTGTTGTTAGAAATTGGAATTTCCCAATGAATAGTTTTTTCTCATATATACACAATCGCACACGCAACGTGTATATATTGGTTTGTTCACACTTGTGGCCTGGACATCTGCCACCGTACGACGCATTGTGTATATCCATGAAATCGCCGTCTCAATAGATTCAAAGTTACCCCATAGCGAGGAACCTTCGCGCAAGCTGTCGCATGTCAGGCCCCAAGCTTTGTTGGCATGACTAAAAGTTTATACCACCGTGTTTTTGTTTTTTTTTCACCGTGATGAAAACAAATTATGACAGGTGACCCTTGTTTATCAGGGATTTCGAGACATGACGTTTTGTCGAAAACCATTTCGTCTATTTATCATATCGTCGAAAGTTGAGATTTCTAAAAGAGGCGCAAATGTACTTTTGAGAGTTTTACTAATTCGTGCCACATTAGAGTGTACTGGCTGGAGGATCCCGAAATTCGGCGTCGACGAAGGGGCGCTACTATTGACACGGACGAAAGCCACGTCCGCGAACCTCCGGTGGGTACTGATTGGTAATTGATTTGTCATTTTTTTGCGTGCTGAGCGCGCCCCCTCGAAATCGCGCGTGGTACTTGGGATTCCTAACCAATGACACAATCAATGAACAAATTGTGTTTTTTTTTTAACGAAATTCCGTAGATCCGTATGATGCTC